TTAATGTCAGAGACGCTCTTATAGTCACTGTTACAATTGTTATGAGTTTCAGTCTTATTTTTAAATAAAGAAAGGTCTTCCAAACAGCTGCTCGAAGCATAATCGTTTCTAGGTGGAAGGTCTACGGCCATTTTATAGGACGGTTTTTATTGTATGTCGGGTTACAAGGAAGAAACAGTCATGAAGAACCAACCTTTCATAACACAGCTGATCCTTAATTAAAGCTTTGGATATGTTGGGACAGCAACTAATTTGCAGTACACTATTGTATAAGGGAACAGGAACATAAGCTTTCTGTCGCCTTGCATAGTTCATATATTTTTACATCTGAAAATGATTGGAAGTGACTATGATTGTTTTGTTACAATGTGTGGCTACAGAGAATATTTTACTTTTAATTACAGAATAAATTGTTGTTTCTTCAATGACCTTCCGCAAATTTTACGTTTTTTTGGATGATATTGAAAGGTTGAATGTATGACTTAGGCTTCGCCTTTCAGTTCATAGGAAGCACATGTAGGGTGTTAGACGATCACGAAAGACATTTATACTACCTTTAAACGACGGGGATGTTTTTTGTACAAGTGTAGGCCATTCTTTCACCCCCTCACTGAACTACAGCTGCCAGTGGGGGCTCGAGGGTGATTTTCTTCCTCACCAGGACCGTCATGTGCCGTGTACAGATCGTGCTTCAATTCGACAGCACTTAACACAAGGTAATTCCATCTGGTAGGCTGACTTTCACTGAATAATGATACTTGGCTCATCATAGTTAAGAGCTACACAGTAACCTAAGATAAGTAAAAGTTATGCTTTTCATCTTTCATCTTAATGATCTAATCGTAATACTTATGACCACTATATGTAGCCCTTTAAAATCATTGTTCGATTGTTAACTGTTTCTACAATTTTGTGGGCAGTGAAACTAAAATCTACCCCCTGTCACCTCTATATATGGTTATGTGTCACTTTTTAAAAAGAAAACTGATGTATCTGAATGAATGTGCAGTCAAAATGAGTTGTAAATGAAAGTTAAAATGGCCGCAGAGTTCCTGGTTCCTGAGGCCCTGCAGAGTTCCTGGTTCCTGAGGCCCTGCAGGCCGGTTTGCTTAAAGTCACGTTTTCCTCCTGCTTTCACTTCCCTTCCTATTACCCGGGTGTGTGGCTATAGCGTAGATCCTTAACGAAACTAAGCCACAACAGTGGCTTAATACGAATGCAATTCGTTTTAGAATACTTGTCTTTAGTGTTCGTTTCCTGAAAAGGTGCACTTTATATGAGTTTAACAAAACATTTTGAACTTCGACTCTAATAATTTTGCTCTCATTTGGTCATTCCAGATAAATGAACCCTTTAATGTTTCTTCAAAATAGAGTTAATTTTTCAAACATTTTTCTTTTCGAGGTTACCCTCGGACAGTGGTTTAGGGATATTTAACGTTCTTCTTATTTGAATAACTAAGGTTTAGTGATTGTACTAAATAGCGGTAGCGTGACACAGCCTCGTGTCGCTCCATGCACACACGTACGCGCGCTGTATAGACTGTAATTATGGGCATATGACTGACCAGACATTTTTTGTGCCTTGCCCTCGTACGAGTTTTAAGTACATCGAACAAATGTGTCTGTTAAAGCTTCTCTTTGCTTTGTCTTCATTTTCGTCATTGCGATTTTTTTTTTCCAAACAAAGGGAACAAACTTTTATACAAGTGACCTTCAGAGCTATGTATAATTTTCCTCATTGCAATTTTTAAATGGTACTTGTAATTTATATTCTAGATCTAACCAGTTTAAGATATTTTCATTTAATAATATGCAAATGGTATTCTTACTTGATTTTTTTTTATGTTTGTCTTTACTACTGCACCACTTGCTAATAAAATAAAGAGATGCTACAATGGAAATCCGTTCATAGGCTGGTATATTCCTGTCTTCATTGTTTATGTTAGGTGTAAATTGTTTGCATGTATAATACTTGCATGTATGTGCACAAAAAAACTATTCTTTGTTTTACATGCACATCATCATCCGCGCGTTTTATGTTCATTCCCTGCCTTCCTGCTACATGGAGAACAGTCGCACGTGGAGGTGAGTGTGATTGGCTCAGGGTTGCTTGGCGATGAGAGGACCAATGGCATGCCAGCCTGCTCACTTTCTCAGTGCGTATGTTTAATCTGTTTATATAAAATATGGGAGAGGAGCGATGAGGTGGAGTTTCCCAATAGGACCATGGATCTCTGCCAAGCGTGGGCCTCAGTAAGGTCCTGATACCCTCCCCCCCTGCATTCTCAACCATGTGACTGGGATGGTGCCTTTGTTGTAATTATATCCACTGACTCGTTCAGTAATTTATCTATATTGTATTTGCTGATAGGCAAACTCACTTCACCTTTGAGCTGGTAGACCCTGAGGAACCAGGCACGAGAATAATATAATTATGTGCCAGTCTAGGGTTACTGTGTTTTGGCTGCATTTCCGATGTCAGCTTATGAGATCTGGGGTTTTCAGTCGCTGCACAGTTATCTGTGTTTCGTATGACACTGGAATTCTGGAACTCTGAGACAGACACTGCATCACTTTATGGGATAAACGGTGGAGGATAAAATATGGCCACAAATTCCAGTGTACACACAGTGCGTCCTTTGGTGAGCCCCAGTATGCTAATTTGCAAACTGATCCTGGGAGAATCTGAAACTTGTTGTTAACAGGTTCTGGGGGTCTTGCCAGTATTTACCACCATAGATGTCGCTTCCAGAAACGTCCCTTAAGTAATTTATTCTCTCAAAACACACAAAGCTGATTTGCAGTCGATTTAAAACTGTTATGTTAATCTTTCAGTTGTCGTTAACAACAGTTCAGCTCAAAGACTTAGGACTGAAGGTGATATTTCATTTGTCTTATTTAAATGTGACCCAGTTAGAAGAAACTTTCCATGTCCTCTGAAAAATGTTACCAGTTAGGAGTTTCAAAGTGGGACTAAACGATCCAGGTAAGATGACAGGGTGTGACCTGCTGCGTGATCTCTAGCCGGCACGGTAAGGTCAGCCAGCCTCTCCTCTGTGGCTGAAAACCCGGGACAGGAGAACCAGCCGCCCCCTTAGACCTCGACTGTAAGGCGAGATACCGAAAGAATAGCAGAGCGACAGCACGGGGCCACATGTGAGCTCTGGGGTCTCTGGGCCCCCGGACTCAATCTTTGTTTGCTTGACATGCAGAGGTTGTGTACTGGCCTGGGATTTAATTACTCGAGCATTTATGAATAATGCCGGTATATCCCAGCATCGGGGTGTTTGGAATGCCTGTATTATTGCTTCCTTTGTTCACAGTGATGTGTGTGCCCTGTGATGGGCTGGCGTCCCATTCAGGGGGGGCCCTGCCTCACCCCCTGTCCTTCCTGGGACAGGCTCACCCTGACCCTGAAGCTCATGGCTGTACAGGTTTTGTGTCCGTCACCTGAGAGACGGAATGGAAATATCCCCCGGAAAACACAGAAAGTGCAAATCAGCAGGAAGTCGGAGGCATTCAATGTTTTTCTGATGATCATCCACAGTTGGGCTTCCGGGTGTAAATTAAAACTGCTGTGAGAGGCGGGGAACAGACCCCAGGCGCAGGTGGGAGGTCTCTGCTGGTATGACCCACCTGTTGGTGGTGTAGAAATGTGGACTTCCGCTCTGCTAGAGGGGCAAGACTTTCTAGAAATTTCTCCCAGAGATGCACAGACTTCAAAGGAGTGTCAATCTTAATCTTTCTTAACTTCAACCAACTGCCGTCAGGTTGACCTTGAGGGAGGAGGTGGGAGAGAAAAAAAAAAGGAAAAAATGTTCTTGTATTGCAGACGTGCAGATATGCATGCAGTACATCTTGGGATTTTAATTTATATCTGAATGAGTCTGAATGCTGCTCTGAACAACAGTGCTGCTTTTTACATGCAAATGGCTAATACTGTATGTGACAGAGTATTCAGGTCGTCCAGCTTGGTCTCAGTTTTCCATATCGGAGTGTTTCCCAGGCCCCTGGTGGTACCCAGAATGCTCAGCCTTATTTTCTCCTGCCAATTAAGGCTGTGCACCAGCGAATCAGGGCGCTACCACCCCAACATTAAAAAGGCCATTCAGTTGCTCTCAGAGAGCAATTACAGCTGCAGTTTCGAATAACATGCCCGCCTGTTATTACGGCCATTTAGAACGTGAGCCTGACCAGGGGGCTGAGCCCCTCGCCTGCCCACCCCGGCTTCGCCCCATCTGCGGAGTCGGGCCGGAACTCCTTTTCCTGATAAATCTCCCCCACCTGTCACTTGGGATCGGCCGAACAGACGTAAGACAGCGATCTCCTAAGATCAATCCCCCCCCCCCCTCAGAACAAATGGAAGTGGACTAATCTCATTCCGAAGGCGGTAACCCCCATCTCAGGTGGAAAACAAATCTTGGACCAAGAATATAAAAAAAAAAGGTACGTTCAGACTCAACATTAATGGTGAAGGAAGGTGCGGGGAATTTAAAATGTGAAAAAAGGTTATAAAGGACTGATACTCATCACGTGATTTGTGCAGTGAAAGACGTAAGACTTCTGAATTTTAAACATCCTTTTATGCTGCACTGTGCTTTAGTTTAGAACACAATAATTGTCATTTTTTTGGAATTGTGCAAACATTATGTTTATTTGGGTTTGTGCTTTTTATCCTTTTTGTGTCCTGATGTGTTTAGACGTGTTTATAATTAATTCATTTGGCTCTGACTTAGAGATATTTATTTGTTTATAGATGTCAATAATACTGTATGCATGAAAGGTAACTGATTTTAAGGCCAGTGGTAACTGGTTTTACTGTTTAACATCTTACGGTTCTGACCATAATCATGAATGTCTTGCGTGATGGAAATCAATAGACATAAAGGAAGGTGATTGTAGAGGACTAGGCTCTGGGGGAATGTGAGTGAAGGCGACGCTGTGCGTGCACACGCCGATGAAGGGGTGTGTGGTCGTGCCGCAGGTCGTCGCCTTGCCATGGCTGTCTCCGGGGGGGCTGGCAGACACGGGGGGCTGTGCGTCAGCCTGTGTGTGGCCCTCATTCCCCTGGCCGTCCTTTATGGTAAAGGTAGGGGCTGCGGCCTGCAGTGGGCGAGAACCGCCGTCCCCCACAATCCGGCCAAAGACGAGCTAACCCTCCTGCAAGGCCTCCACTGTTGACAATGACAACGATGATGATTATTGTTTTTTAATTATACAAAAGTTAAAGTTGGATTCTCGTGTATTGTTTAAGCATCAGAAGGTCTATACAGGCAGTTCTCAAACCTCCTAACCCGGAAGTGTATTTATTGCTTAAAAAGTCGATGGTTCATTTTGATTTATGTGTAACACTTTACTTATGTTGGGAACGGTATTGATTTCATGTTTGAGATCTGACTGGAATTCCCTCCCGTTTTTCACATTTCCCATTTTCCCCAGTAAATAATCTGTTCCATAAACTGCTACGTACATAAAATTTTATGTAAATCAGATTTTTCAAGACCCCTTATGTCAAAAAATATACTTATAATACATGCTAAAGAGCACATTAAATAACAAAGACAAAGCTGAAATATATTTTCAGTGCTTGCTCACTTTTTTGCGTTAGGGTTTCCATAAACTTTGTGTTTTGGATATTTTTTTGCACCGCTCTGGATTCACTTGTTGGTTTTATGTAAATCGAGAGCTGCCTGTATATTAAAGTATTACTTCCAAAATCCAGTCATTCATTTACATCACACATGTCTGCTCTTGCCGCCCAGGGTCTCTGAGTGTCCTTGCCTGACTGCACACACTGTGTATGTACCGTTCATTAACTTATGGAACCAGTGCAGTGACTATACACTCTTATTTGCAGCTCTGAAAGGCAACTTTGAGAGACATTTGGAGAAGAGAGACATTCTTGTATCAACAGGTAGTTCAAGAAAATGGTCGGTCTTTCTTTAAAACTGTGTCTTAAGGAAAATGAGCACATCAGTGAAATTAGTGTTCATACGCCGTTATTATACAGTGCAATATTATAGTCTGTTGTGCTAAAGTACTGTAGTTAATTCAAAGAAGGACAACACAAGGTAATTACGTATCCAGATTTAGAAAATGATTTAAATCTCATAATAAACTCTTGAAATATTTACCAGAATTAATCAATTAATCGTTTTATTTCACAGGGGGAATAACTGCATAATGTTTTAATGAAAGCCAACTTAATCATTTTCATTTCCTGTTTGTGGGGGTGGACATTCTCTGAAATGTAACCCAGTTTGCACTTAAAAATCTGTTATGAGTTTTGTTATGACTGATCATAATATTAACATCATTGCGGTGTGTTTTTGCCCAGAAATTCCTGCTGGAAATGCCTCCATTGACCTGACTCTCTTGGTGAATAAGTTAATAAACTCGACACAAACTGGTATGTTGCAATATGAGTGACTTTTATTTTATAATTCACTCACAGCTTTTGTACAGTTTTATGCTGCGGAGCACTTGACAGATTTTTATTGCACAGATGCACCCTCAGTGGTCAGTTTATTTGGTATATTAGTTAATACCAGCTTGGTTCCACTTTAACCTCCAGAACCACTTCAAGGGGTGATGAGTGGTGTTGTCGGAGAATCCATTCAAGACACCACTGTTGTACTGAGCTGTTTTCTTTGTACTTGCAGCCTTCCTGTTAGCTTAAATAAGTCTGGTCATTCTCCTCTGACCTCTGGCTTTCACTCACAGAAATGCCACAGACTGGATGTTTTTCGTTAATTGCAGCATTATCTATAAACTAGGTGCTGTAGTGAAAATCCCAGCAGGGTAGCCGTTTCTGATAAACTTAACGCACCACATCTGACACCAACAATCTCACCACGGTCAATCTCGCTTAGATGAGGTGCCCTGGCCCTTCCAATGCATAGCCACACCGAAAGCCAACCTCTTGACCAGGTCTGCGCACTGCAGGTATTCCGTTTCAGCCACACGATTCGCTGGAGCAGGCTGTTCACGATTCGCTGGAGCAGGCTGTTCACCAAGCAAACGTGGCTAATAAAAGTGGCCGCTGATCATTGTACGGCTTTTAATCGATGACAAGTAGTATTCACATTGAAATTCCATCAATGCCATCATGCGTCTCCCTGGGTAGCTTGACAACACTTCATCCTTTTGTGCTGCTCGATTTTGGTTTTACACTATTAAGAAGCAGTTACTTTTTTTTTAAAAGGCTACGAATTTAACCCCTCTTGGAAGGGGAATGGATTTTGTTTTAGCATCTTGTAGCATTAGCGTACCCAGCCATCAATCTTCCTTTACACCGGTGTGCCCTGAGTCTGGTGGGCCATCTCAGGCAATGCAGGCCCTTCGCTTGAAACAAACACCTACCGGTGTGATTATAACTCTGCTGAGCCACAGCGCGTTTCCTGCTCTCGCCCCCCTGTCCTGTTTTCCAGGCTCCCAGCACATTTTCACTCTGCTGAGCATCACGTCTCATAGTTCCTTGGCCTTCAACAAGCTCACCGTTCTCGTCTACAACAGTACGTCCCGACCGTGGGCTGGCTAATCCTCTCAGCGCGCCGGCATTCGCCCGCCCCATCAGATAATTTATCCAGAAATACACAGCTTGTATGATTTGATCGAAAGTACTCAGTTCTGTGTGGTGAAAACTGGTTTCCAACAGTTTCCAATTTCAGGAACGTCGAGACTAGCCTCTTTCCGATGAGATACTGCTACTGTTTGACTAATAGGTCTAACGACTTGACAGGTAAGCAGATACAAAGAGTATTTTTTGTGGTGTAATTTATCTCCAAATGCTATTATCCATCTTGCTCGTTTTGTGGTAACAGGATACAGATCAATATATAAAATCCTAGACCACATTCTGATACCTATCAGGATAGTTTCTGAAGTTTATCAACGCTGGAGAGTTTATGGCTTGGGGAGTATGTCACCGTACATGAGATTGCTGGCATACCCTAAAAAGGTAACGTAGGGTAACTGACATCTGGACGTTTCTGGTCTCTGCATAGACTTCACTGCCATATTATTGGACATCATGGGGAATTCCTCCAGCTACCTTCACGAGATCTTCAAATCCAGCTCCATATTGTCAGGTGAGTGGATTTCATGAAAGCTACTGAAATTCGGCGCCAGTGTCCTCTGTGAAAGGCCATTTTGGTCGTGAGCCTCGTGTTCCAGCAGAAATCAGGATAAACCTCATTTACATGAGATGCAGGTCATTAAGATGGTCTGGAATGTGTCTGATGGTAGATGTGTCTACACAGTGAGTCAGAACAAGGACCCGGACTGCATATACATCTGTGTGATGGCTGGGAAGACTGGTGAGTTACCTGGTCCTTACTTCTGCCTTATTGAGTTTGGAGAAGGACGGAACATCCAATGAAGGAAGCCCATGTGTTATATCGATCCTGTGGTGGATCTTCAATCCTGAATATGTATTTTATTACTTTTGAGCCATTTAAAGGTATCTATTTGGTTTGATGTGCATTAGGCCTTAGGTCCCCATATTGTTGATGTCCATTTTCATAATTCAAAAACCATCCCCTTTAACGACCCCCCTGTCCAAATGATGCTACGTCGCAGCATCTTGAAGCACATTTCTTTAGCTCCTGTGTTATGGTCTCTCAAACCATCTTAACATTATATTATATATGTGGCTGAGCCCCTGAATTCAGACACGGCTGTCTGATTGTGTTACGCTTGTGGTGTGATGGAGCGACCGATGCCCCCCCCCCATCTTACCAGTTTGCTCCTCTCCAGAGAGAGATCTGTCCCAGCTCTGGGAGGTGGAATCCGTCAAGCCTCTCTTCAATCAGACTATTACTGCTGACATCCACAGAGGTAATTTTAGCCCCTCTGCTCCTGTGCTGTTACACTGTGGAGAGCACAGCAGCTCTGTGAGGGCAGAGCAGGTAAGATGTCACTGAATACCCTGCCCTTCATTTCTCTGTGAAAGAACCACAACAATGGTAGCAGTAGGCTTCCCTGCCCACTATACATTCGTGCTGGAGTTAGGTCAACAGGTATCACAGGCTGGCTGGTTCTCTCTCTCTCTTCTTTTATTTCTTCCTCTCAAAGGCAACATCACAGTCCCTCATCTAGCTATGGGTAAGAACCTTCGGTGTTTATCTGCTCCCCTGATCTCACACTGGAACAAACTCCCATCATTTCTATCAAAAGAAGAAAGCAGATGAGGTTTGACCAGGGATGCGTCTCTTCAGAAGATCGTAGGTGGCTCGCTGGTTAGCAGAACACGGTGCTTTAGCGTCTCCTAAATAACGGATGTGCTTATGTAAAATTCGGTGTAGTGACTGTTTGTGGCCACCAGGGGGCCCTAATCAAACGCCTGATTTGAGTGGCGGTAAATACCGCCGCTAGATAGAACCCTACGTAGGCAGCCCGTTATAGTTAAATTACAATAATTATAGGTTCTAAGACTGAGGATTTCCTTTATTCCTTGTAATTTTGTTATTCAGTATATAATACTGCATATATATAATACTGTATTGGGATATTTGGCATTTATATGCCTACAGTGCATTCTCATCTTTTTCTGAAGTGCAGGGTAACAAGTGTAAGTTATACTGGGTATAATAATATAAAATTGAAAATCATACAATAAAAATCATGCCTCTTGTATTTTAGTTTTTTTTTTTTTACTTGAGAGCAACAGATTGATTCCTGAATAATTTGAGCGGCATTATATGTCAGCGTCATGATGTCATCTCACCCTCAAAAGAGTGGCACCATTCGCTGTCCGGCTCCAGCACCGACAGCTCGGCCCAGCCCAGCGGCACACAGAACGGCCCCGCTAACGCCACCGCGCCCGGTAAGCCTCCCTGCCTCGTCCGGCTCACCCTGCTGCACCCACGAACCCACTTTTAACCGGCTCACGGCAATGGGATGAGCGGGGGGGGGGGTGGTCTGTTCAGGGACCTTCGACCGTGACGAGTGAGTTTCTCTTAGTTTGCGCCGTGTCCTCTCCTCTTTCATTCTCAGCCCGGGGTGATGTCACGCCCAGCCGCAGCCCGACCTCCAGGACGGTGTCCCCGGCCAGTTTCGCTGAGAGACCACGCAGGGTTGCAGGTGCCTTTGTATTTTTTTATTTTTGCTGTTAACGGGAACAGTCCCGAGGCTGCGTCTCTCATCCAGGTGACTCCTGGTTCTCTTCCAAAGACGCACTGTCCGCCCGGCCCCCGGCTAACCCCGACTCCAGTCGCCTTTTAAACTCCGGGGTAGTTCGTCGATCGGGGAACTGGGCCCTGGGGAAGGCAGACCAATAATTCTGGATTTTTTTTTTATGTGTACCTTCTGTAGTTTTTGATTCACTGCTGGGTCAAAGTTCTTCTTTGTCTCCTTTCAGAGGAAATAGCAAAATGATGCCGCGTGATAGTAACCATGGAAACGCAGTTTTCCATCCCTTGCAGTTATTTCAAAGCATAGGTCAGTAAAGGGTAAAAGCAAATTAAGTCTATCTATATTTATTATTTATAGTTATTCTTTATAAGATAAGAGGTTATTTATTATTTGAGGCACTCAGATAAATGACCGTGGTCAGTGGTGTGTGTGTGTTTATGATGAGGATGTGTTTAAAGACTGAAATAAATAAACTTTGAATTGCGAGGATTATTAGGCTAAGAGCGAAACGGCTTAAAGGACCAGTAATAAAGAGGCAGTTTCCATCACACACAGTACAGGGCGTGGATTAGGGGCAAAGGATAAATGCACAATGGGTGCGATTTGTGACCAGATAAAACCCAGCGGTCACAAAATAAGAACCAATTACGCCTGTGTTTTCAGTGCATAATTGCTGGACTGCAGTCAAATGGTACTAACAACGGAGAAAATTCATACAGAACAAATCCTCCCCTCGCGTTTCCGCATTGTTTATACTGCGGCGACTTACTGCTGCTCAAGAAAACGATCCATTTCTTCTTCATTCACTATAGGACTTATAGTCGACCTTCGGTAAATGGATAAAAAAAATCGAAACAACACTACTAAAAGATCGCGTTTTCAAGAAAAGAAAAAAAAAACGTTTCTACTGAACCCGACCACCAGAGGGCAGCATCTTCCCACAGAAACCTACTGGCTTATATGACTGTTGGTGGGGGAAACATGAATCATTGGGCTTTTGCGGATTAAAGCATGTTCTGATTTGCCCATTAAAAGGCGATAAGCGTGGCTGTTTTGCATTTTAAATGTCTTTGAGCTGTTCTTTTCACAAAGTGTCCCGGAAACTTATTAATCGTAGGTATTTCACATCCGTGATTGCACTGACACTGCGCACTATGCTGCCGCGTTCACTACCCGGAATGGTAATCGCGTTTACCAGGTGTTTGATGATTTTAACAAAAACGATCACGAGAGGTTGCCTGGTGCGAAAGACACTCGGAAACAAATTAAACCCGCATTATATATGATAAGGAACCATTAAGGCACATTTGTGAATAATAGACTTATAATGGACAGTAAAATCTTTTTTCCGCACAAAGGAGATCTAACACTTTGCACAGCTACAGAAACAAAGAAGCCAATCTGTCTGCACTCAGAGGCCAAATTTTCCCGGTAATAGTCGCGATAATTTTGGTAAAATTGGCTGTGAGCATTTCTCTGTATTTACAACGAAGGTGGACCTGCTCGAGGTTTGCAATAAATGAAAATCAACAAGTACACAGAGTCACAGACCTACTGTCTGCAATCTTATAGGTCTCGGTGGTCCAAAAGGTACCGATCGTATGGCGCATTGCAGGTCAGAGCAGGATGTGGGGAAGGCGGTCAGCGCCGGCTCCGTCTCTGTCTCCCGGCAGGCTGTCCGTGGAAAAAAACGGACATCTCCCAGGCTGGGACAGTGAGAAAGAATGTGGAGCCCACGGCCAGCACTGCCGCCACCCCCATCAGCGCCCAGAAACTGCAGTCCTGCCTGCTCGAACTCTGCAAGTTCTTCTCGCGGTGCCGGTGCCGCGACTCCGACCGTGGCGGAGCGGCTCGGTAAGGCGGCGCGTTGTCATGACAACCTTATAATAAGTTCATAATGAGTAGCTCATATTCCACGTCTCATATTTATGTATCTAAATTGGGCATATATTGTGTAAATGACTCTCCATGAATGTGGGCAATAATGATGATTATCCTTTAATCATCAGGGGGGAGGACGCTGGCGTGTTTTGTCGCCGCTCCCCTTTTATGCTTTTTATACCTTTTATGCTTTATGTTTTATGCTTTATGCTCTCCCCTAGGTAGTTTGACTGCTACCTAGTTGTTTTATGGTTTGTAATCTACAAACTACAAGCCATTATTTATTGAACTGAACTGGCTCTGTCGAGCTCCATGTAGCCCCCGATCTTCACCGCAGTCGATTCCCGTACCTCGTAAGCCGACTTCCACTCACCATCTGGCGTCGTCAGCATCTGTCTGCCTGACTCTCGGCCACTCGATGACGGGAAAGAAGCTGCTGGGCTGTGGCTACAAG